ATAGGAGAGCTGGAAAATATTTACTTTATGATAGAAAAAGAAACTCAAATTTTGCAATAGTCTTTGTGTCAGTTTTAGTATCTCATCAACACTATCAAAATCAACCTTGTGGTTTGGAAATAGAAACATGTGTGAAATCGGGTCACAAAATTTTGTCATATTTCATCTTGTCAAGATCAGCTTCTAAATGTGGAGTGATACCACTTCCTGGTGAACATTGTAATAATCTTGCATTGTACCACGTGAGCAGCTTTGACATGGAGAAAAAAAAACAACAACAAAAGTTTAATGTATTATGTAATTTGTATTTTCTTAACCTCCTCGGACCCAAGAGCTGGTACTTTGTTTTAAATTTGAGTTCAAGGTTTACCGCAGGGCAGGTCATATCTGGTATCGCAATGTAATCCATTTCTGCATGAAGTAATGTTTTAGCTCGCAAAAACTATGTAACTTATAAGCATGGGGATGGGGTCTCAAGTTTTGATATCAACAAACATTTTGAAGTGGAATGTACTAAAAAATCAATTTAAATATATATATATATATATATATATATATATATATATATATATATATATATATATATATATATATATATATATATTTATTTATTTATTTATTTATTTTTCGGAAATCGCAAAGAAAATTAGCTAAAACTTACCTTTATAAAATACTAACATACCCAACTTTAAAAAGTAACTATTGTTCGTGGCAAAAGTTTACAAAAAAATATTTTTCTGTTGTGGCACAAAATATTTTGACATGATGAACAAGTGAAGTGACATTTGAGGCTGTTGCACCATGGAATATGGCAATAAGACAGCTTTACATCGTTTGGTAGTTCTGGTAAATGATCTGTTTTTCTTTTACATAGGCTGACATCAGGTAAATGACTTAGTTTTAATTCTTGAAAACTCTCAAATGTATTATTGCCTTCTTCTTGGTCCTTTGACCCTGGAACTGAATTCAGAAGTGTGTGTGCTACTGCTACTCAAAAATGCAAAAAGTCGAATTTTTCACACAGCAATTTCATTTCCCAAATAAAGAAATCTAGGCAAAGAAGATAGCGTTTCTGTACGCAGATCTGGTTCTGTAGATTGTGCCAGAGGAAGGGATTAAAAAAATTTTCTTTTCAGCCAGATGCCTCAATAATGCAATGGTTAATCATTTTCAATTTCATCTTCATTGTGCCAATATTCGAATTCCCTGACTTTTCAGTTAAGAGAAATTTCTCATGGCATCTTGTTGATGTTGCAACAAGATCCTCTTTCCTCCTGCAGTCGATATGCTTCTTTGTTGTGCTGCTGTAGTTAAGCTCAGAAATCAGACCAAAACTGAACTGTGTTGGTCTTCAGTGCCTTTCTGCAAGTTTCTATAAAATTTCTCGTATTTGAAATGATGGCTGTCTGTTGTTGATATCTCTTTATTGCTTCATTATAGCAGTGAATTCTATCACCAAGTGTAGCAGTTCATTGTTTTTTCTTTATTTTTCAACCTTGTATCAAAATTTTTAAGATTAATTCACAACTTCATTCTATAGCTATTAATCTTACCCAATTTTACACTTTTTGGGTTCTTCTTTCCCTTCACAGGATAAAGCCCATCCTGGATGTGTTAATTTTGGAAATCATTATTTTCTTCTATGTTGATATACTTTTTTTTAGATTTGAAGCTCTTGGATATTCTGCAATTTTCCTGTCTGATCTTCCCATCCAAAACAGTACAAACTTACAAAGCAGCACAATGCACCAGACAGTTCTTTCAAAGAAAATATGTAATATTGCGTTTCCAACAGTGGTATTCAATTTTTTACAAGAAGAATAAAATGTCCATTGTTATGAAGAGGATGTTGTGGATGATGATGATGATGATGATGATGATGATGATGATGATGTGCTTTCAAACCAGTGCACCTAGTGTTTGAAGGCTTCGTGTTTGTTTGAATTTTTGTTTGAATGCAGTCTATAAACCTCAATCAATTGAAGATATTTCATGCATTTGCCAAGTGACTATGACACGGACCTTGACTTCCAAATGCTTTCTACAAGTTAAAATTTAAAATAGCAGGATCATTGACATTCAAATTTGATTGCTTTCATCAATCAAATCAATTCATTAAATTTGATTGATTTCAATTTTTTGTACACAAAACAATCAGGGAATAAAAAGATTCATAGATTCTGAATGAATGTTCTGTAAGTACAGAAGTAAATGAATAATTAAGTAGTTTGCACCACACAATTCAAGTTTGATTCATTTATTTGTGGGAATATCTCTGACAAATGTAGTAAGTAATACACATGAGAAAGAAGTAGTAATATACACTATGTGATCAAAAGTATGGCTGAAAACACATGGCTAAAAATGACTTACCAGTTTGTGGCACCTTCCATCGGTAATGCTGGAATTCATTAGGGCATTCCCCCCCCCCCTCCCCCTTAGCCTTGATGACAGCTTTCACTCTTGCAGGCATACTTTCAAATAGGTGCTGGAAGGTTTCTTGGGGGATGGCAGCCCATTCTTCACAGAGTGTTGCACTGAGGAGAGGTATCGATGTAGGTCGGTAAGGCCTGGCATGAAGTCAGCAATCCAAAACATCCCAAAGGTGTTAATAGGATTTAAGTCAGGACTCTGTGCAGGCCAGTCCATTACAGGGATGTTATTGTTGTGTAACCACGTGCAGTATGAACAGGTGCTCGTTTGTGTTGAAAGATGCAATCGCTATCCCTGAATTGCTCTTCAACAGTGAGAAGCAAGAAGGAGTTTAAAACCTCAATGTAGGTCTGTGCTCTGATAGTGCTCCACAAAACAACAAGGGGTGCTAGCCTCTTCCATGAAGAACACGACCCCACCATAACACCATTTTGGATGTGTCCGGATACTTTTGATCACATAGTATACTCAGAAAGTAATCTTAAGTAATATACATCAGAGTTTTTGTAACAGAAAACAATAGAATATCAAATAATGTCATATGATTCAGTTTTATACAAAATATAAAATATATAACATGAAATAGATACATTGTATATATTATGTTGTTTACTATAGCTGATGCGTATGTGAACTGTCATATCATGTTGACAGTAATGAATCCAATGGGGTATATGTTTTTTGTTTTTTGCATTTTTTGTTTGTTTTTTTAAATGTTTTGTTTTTTAATTTATTTTTATTTTTTTAAACATTAGTTGCGGTTTCATCACAACGCAATGTGTCTCCTAACCCTTATTGGGTGTTGAGCACCTTTTTTGGAATAATGCTCTGTTACTTTATAGCATGAGAGACACTAGTGTAGATCAAAAATGTATATCATCAAAATGTTTCTTTTTGTTTTACATTTATGGTGTGTGAAGTCTATAAAAATAGTTGCTAAAGTAGCAGTGCTAGAAATGTTTTAAGTTTAAATAGATGTACAACTGCCAGCTGTGTTTGTAAAATTTTGGTCTTTAGAAATGCAGACTGCAGACTTTAAAACATCCAGTAATATTATTATTTTAAATTTAAAAATTGTTTTTGAAGTAAATGAATAATAAAAATTGAACCATAAAAATAAAAAACAGCTTGTTTCAACTGAATCAAAATATGAAAGATGAAAAATTAGCATAGATATTTAAGTACATATCTTTGTGAATAAGAAATGGGGGAAGATAAAAATTATATTCATGGGTAATTTGTGGTATTGTGCTTGATTGAATATCTTCATACCTAAAACATTGATCTCAAAGAGTAGAAATTTATGGCAAAATTATTCTGAATTTCTGAAACATTATTTACTTATCAAGGCAATGGAGCTTTGAGAGTCCTACAGTTTTTAGACCTACCCTTTCTCTTTCATACATAAATGATTGGCCCTCTTCCATTAACAATGGAATAATAGTTCTTATTGTTGAAAAAGAAAATGACATTCATTTAGCTTTGTATGAATATTTTTGATGAATATACATTCCCATATGGAATATAGTGTAAGACACATTATACAGTTCTCAGACATTTAGATTTCAGAAAAAATTGTAGATATTGTACACATGAGAAGCAAAAGCCATTGTTATAATTCCTCCAAATCTCTTTAATGTTTTAGTATACCACCGTTGTCTTTTATTTAAACATTGGTGGTTTTTTCAGAACTGTCTTGAACAATACTGAAGGGTGGGAACATGTTTTCAAATGTTACGCTTATCTTCAGTTAATTATTACACACAATTTAGGAATCCTATTCATCAGATCTCAGTACCCGAGGCACTTTATAAAATGTCCAAATAGTCTCATACATTAGTTTATAACAAATTGCCAGGTGGCATTAAAAAATTAAAATCAATTCACAAATTAACATTAAAATCAAAAGACAAGCGAAATCTTGCCTGCTGCATTACAATTTGTAAACAATAATAGAGACTATACTGAGTACCAAATTGAAAATAATATTTATTTTAATAACAATTTGACTGCATTAGTAATCTGCTGAATAGTATAATTCTAAAGGACTTACTATGCTGTGACAAATATATCAATCAGCTTCTTAGTTGTCTCCCATCTCAATTAGATTTATCTTAATCCATTAAGCAAGTGCTAAAATGGCCCCTTGCTTTGCCTCTGAACAATAAATGTAGCTTTATTCCTTCTGCTCTTCCTTCTCTGTTCATCAAATTTTGTGGTTTTTACGGTGTTTGATGATTAATAAATATTCAAAATGATAGTTTTTTAATATTTCCTAAACTTGAGAGCAAGAAGTATCTAATACTTGCTTAATAACTACATTTTCTAGTGCTCTAAAATAAGTAATGTTTCCTCTTTACTTCATTAAGAAAACTATCTAAAACCAAGTATTTTGTTCTGATCATAAATATGCAAAATAAAGAGCATCAGAACAGAGTTTTTTTACAGCTTATTGTATCGTTGAAGGTCAGTGTCTTGTGAAGTTTCTGTAAGACCTCTCAAAGAATCTCAATTGAACTCTCCACTGGCAATAGTTGACATATTCTATGATGTATTTATTTTTGCAGGAGAATCCAATGTTTACACTTTGGGTAACATGGGGGCACATCGGATTGTATGCACCAAATTGCCGACAGTGGGACACACAAGAGAAGCTATGACTGCAGCTGGGAACACCACAACTCGTTTGCTTGGTAAGTAAAACTTGTTAATCGCTACAGTTCTTTTCCTCTGATATTGACTCAACCCATTTAATTTTCTTTTTTTATTATTTTTTTTATTTTTTTATTTCCAAATCTGAAGAATTTGGAAATCTTAATTGAAAATAAATTATCTGCAATCTACTAAGTTAACATTAGCTCATTTTCAAATTGTCAGAGTAAAGGTGTTTTTGCATACATATTGTATTAAAAATTAATGCCTTTCTGCCTGCCTTTTGAAGATAATGTACAGTTAATGTCTGAAAGTCCAGGCTCTACTAATGATTAATATTAGTGTTGATTAGTGTTGAGGACCATAAAGGTTTTGATTCATTTGTCCCTCTACCAAAAACAAGGTGGATCCTAGAGTGTGATTCTGATTGAAGGAAATTAGAAAGATGCTTAATTCCCCAAGGAGCCATTTTCCATGTCTGTCAATTTAGAAAGTCCAAAAATTTCTACTAAACCCTTTCTCTGTTAATGAAATCTAATCTATACTCTCAGATTTGGAACCCACTTTATTTTCCTCCTCTGCCTCTTCCTCTTCAAATTCTTTACAAATCCTGCTTAATCCTTAAAATTGAAAATGTTTTAGGAAGCATTTTTAAAGTGTACTTTATTTAAAAAACTGTTAATGCAAATTGTAGGCAAACTAGTAGTTTGTTTCCTCAGGTACATTCCAAAAAGTTGATTTTGTGTTCCTGGTGGGTGTTGGGGGCGGTGTTCCTCACTACACAGACTACAGTAAGCATGTGCGCTTAGGGGATGTGGTTATCTCCTATCCTGTTGAAGGCAAAAAGTAAGTAGAGGTTTTGTTACTGTTTTTATACAGTCCTGTATTAGTACAAAATTAATAAATTGTGTTGGAAATACAACTTTTAAATATTTTAAGACATTTTTTGTTATCTCCTGAGAAAATATTGATAATTATTCTTTTTTTCAGTTCTGTAATAATAAGTGAAAATGATTTGTAAATTTAAGGTCACAATTTATTAAGACACATCAATAGTTAAATGAAAAGGAGTGGTAGAACAACACATACACATACTTTCTCCATTATATTTAATTGTCATCGTCATCATTATCATCCTATCATCAACATCATCATCGTGATCTTCAGGATGAAAGGCTAGGGGAGCCTATTCCTGGTTAAGCAGTAGACCTGAAATACTTCAGTCTTCCAGGTGTCCCTGCATGATCCACTTCCTTCTTGGTCTTCCCACATCTCTTTATTTTTAATATGTTTATGTAATATTTTTTTATTGCATCTATTCTACTAATACTATAATCATCACAAAAAATGTTAAGAATATAACTCACAATTATATGAAAACTACTATATTTTCAGAAAAGAGTAAATAAAATGATTTGAAGATCTTATATTAGAAATTAGATTGCATTAAGAAAGAAATGCCCATCTTCAGTTGATCTATTTTAACAACAACAACAAAACCTGTCATTTTTGACAAAATTTTCCACATGTATTATTAATGTTGTTATATGAGGAATTAAATTTATTGCTTTAAGCATTGAACCTACCCCTACACCAAGTGTGACGGGCCATTATGACCAATGTTCAAATGTGACAGGCACACACAAGATCAAATTAACTGTAATTGGGAAAGCTCAGAACCCAAGATCCCCAAGAAAGCCTTTTATGAATGTGGTTATCACATATCAAAAACCATCAAGAATGGTTTTTCAACATTTTCATATGATCAGTAAAGAAATTTCAAGATGATAAAGGGATACCAAAGAGAATTGTTTTTCTGTTTGATAATGCTCCTTCACACCCCTCAGAATCTACCTTGAAAACTAAGGATGGTCAAATTTTAGGCTAATGTATATCACCTAACAGACTCTTAATACACGTTTCCCTCCTTTTTTAAATTTTTTAAAATTTAATTTAATTTAATTTGTACAAAGTACTCCATATAAATTGATTTAAATTTGATGAGAAACTTGTTTTTTAAATTATTCAAATACAATTTTCATCATAAAAAATGGTTATCTACAAGGAGTACTTTAACCTATCTTATTCCGCAAACCTCTTTGTGTGAAAACTAATATTTTGAAAAAAAAATACATGACTTTAATTAAAGAACTAGTGTAAGTGTAGAAGAAAAATCTCTTTATTTTCAATAATTTGTACAATGGAGAGGCGGTAAAAAATTTCAAACTTTTCAAAATTGAAAATTCAGGGTTAATTGTAGAAATTGGATCTGTGCCATCATTATGAGTATATTTCATTCTTTTCATACAAGATATTCAAAGAAAAAGTTTGGTTCCGTATTTTGAGCAAATCTTAAAAATTTCCCAGGGACTTCATGTGCAAATTTAAAGTAGTCCCTCCAAAATCTCAGAGCTTCTTGTCAGATCAGTTTGATCAGGTGAAGGTGGGTCAGGTCATCAACTGATATCATTGAAAGACTCTGACCAGGAGGTCATATGGTTTGTGTTCCCACAGTAGTAGGATTTTGACACTTGCGAGATCGAATTAGCTGCTCACTGGAGAAGAGTTCTAGTGGTCAGTTGCTCAGATCAGTAGTTTCCCATGGATTCTGTGATCAACAAGAGGCAAGTATCAGAACAGTACCTTAACAAATGAGCCATGGACTGTGTGCACGATATTTCCTTCTTGTTACATGTCTTGATCTTGCTCACATACATACACACACCAGCTGGTGGGAAATATCGGGATGGGGAAGACCCCTTAAACAGAAGTGTAGGTTGGTGGTGGATCTCACCATTCAGTGGAGGAAGAACACAACCATCTTCTGCAATAAAAACATGCACCACACTTACAGGACTAATTACTATTGCAGTTGACATGCCCAGAAACACGAAATAATCATCCAGTCAATCAATCTTTCAATCTGTTGGGGTATATTCATTATGGAAAAAAAATTGGAATGGTTTAGGCACTGGTTTCGTTCCGACAGATGTACTGATGTTTCAAAAGAACATCTTTTCCAATATTAATGAACCACAAAATGTTGATTCTGACCAGGCTACATATTAGAGAAAGTCATTTATTACATATGGGAGCAAGAAAACCCCTCTTATACATCGTCACAGAACAATAAAATGAGTTTTTTCTGTCTAAAGGAGGACACTTTTTGCCTTGACATTACATAACTTTCTGTATACTAGGGATAATTATTCTGCGTATGTACATATATGACAAAGTACAAATTAAGAACTGTGTTACTTTAAATAGTAAACGATTATTGAAAGAAAAAAGAAAAAGGTGGAAAAAAAATCATTTGTAACTTTACATATTGGACATAATGTATTAACTTGCATGTAACATGTTGTCATCCAATTTTGCAAGGCATTCATTATGATAAGAATTATTTATTAATAAGGGTCATATCCAATTTTTCACTCAATAAATAAAATACATAATTCCATGGATTACTGATTTCTTTATTTTACTCTTACATTAACCAACTTTGAATTATATGAAAGGGTACATTCTATACATATAATACACACACACGTGTGTACACAGGGATCAGAGTGAGGTGAGATTGAGGAGGGATACCTTTCCAAAAACAATTTGGTACATCTGGTTATTATCACATCTAATGTTCATTGTCATTCTCTTTGTTTCCTCAGGTATACTTATGTGTATTGTGAAAGTGCTAAATCATCACCTCATGGAGGATTTGAATTTGAAACCAAGGAATATTGTCCCCCAAATTCTGGATTACAAGAGATTGCTGCTAAATTACACATGCAGGTTTGTATGTTTCTGATTGGTTTGTGTACTTACTTTTAACATTGTGAATATAGTTACACAAAATAGGAATCACTTCCTTTGAATCGTTTGTGGTTGTCTATAATTTTAGCCCTACTCATCTGGTAAAGTTCGATATTTCTTGATTTTTAATCTCTCGTTCTTAATGATTGTGTTATGTTCCTTAAAATGCTTCAAATGTCTGCTCAGGCAACTTGCAATGGAGGTATCACACCCTGGGTTACATACATGGAAGATGGAGTGAACCAACTTAAACAAACAGATGCTGAACATGACTTCAGCCAGCCATCTGCTGATACTGATAAGTTGTATATGGCCATAGGTGAACATGATCTGATTGAAGTAGCACATCCTGCCCCGTCTGAGGGTATGGCAAAACGGTGAGCCCATGTCCCTTTCCCTTCTCTTGTTTTTGACCTTACTGTTTCATAATTATTTTTTAAACGTTAATGTCAGACTTACCAACTAATTAACTGAGAATTATTTACACTTTTCTCCCGTTTTTCTCCACTTAGGTTTCCCCCCCCCCTCTTTGGCTTGTGTATACAACAAGGTCCATAAGAGACAAGTCACAACTTAGAATTATTTGAATTAATCATGTAATGAAACTCTCAAAGCAATGAGGTTTCCATTTTCTCATCAGATGACAAAGTAACATCTTATAATTTTTTGGCCTTGCATTGGTTAACATCTATCATATTAATTTCTGTATCTAAGATAATAAGTCAATGTTTCTGCCTTGAAGGCAATGTCCGAATTGGTCCATAGGAAACTTTTTGGTTTACTAGTTTGTTGCTTAATCAAATGAGAATTTGAAACATCTTTAAATTTATCTTGCATCAAAAGTAGAACATTGCATTGTCAGTTACCAATATCACAAACAAAACACTGAGTTTTTAAATACTAGGGTCTCTTTCAAGACAGACTCATACAATTTACAGAATCATCTGCAATTGAATTGGTGAGGGTCAATTTAGAGGAGTTTAAGTTTTCAGTTTAGGTAGGTTAAATGTTGTGAGGTTTGAGTTAATTTTTCTTATTTAAGCCCTATGCCATCTGTGTGTGTTTTTGTATATCTTAAGTTTCATAAAACAAACAAACAAAATAAATGTGTATTTTTTGTTGACTTGGTGTGGGGCATTAAGAATTCAAAAGGACTGTGCAGGAGTAATGAGTTCGAAAGGCATGCAAGAGTATTAAACATTGTATAATGATTTTCTTTCAGATCCAGAAACACAGTCATGAATTGAAACCACAAAGAATTAAATTAGTTGTTTCTCAAAGTGCATTAGTGAAGCTTATGATTATCTGCCCCCAACCCCTTCATATTTGAATTATTATTAAAGTAATGAAACCTTCAAATTTGGAACATGTAATTAGATTCTACTTTGAGATGGTTTAATAGATACAATGAGAGGAACACAAAAATGTAGTCAAAAATGAATTTCTGCATTAACAGACTAATTGAATTAGCCCAAGTGCATTTCACTTTATAGTTAATTGTTCTATTTATTGATTGTGTATGTTATCTTTTTCTCACAGACTCTCAGGACGTCCTCGTCTTCACTTAGCCCCTGTGGCATCTGGGCGCACAATTGCTCGTGAAGATCAACTCAGACAGCATTTTTCTGCTCACACAGGTGCACTTGCATTTGATTCAGAGTTCGATGCTGTAATTGAATCAGTATTAGGTAATTGTCGAGAGAGTTTCATGTGTGTACGTGGTGTAGCTGACTACAAAGATGGCACTCGAAGACGGGAATGGCAACCCTATGCCTCATTAGCTGCAGCTGCTGTTATGAAATCAATCATCTGCAGCATGGATCCTCCTACTGATGCATGAATGTAATGTTATCTAGATGTGGGATTTAGAGGGTAGAAAGTTCTGTACAAAAGATAATAGTCTGGTATTTTCATTATAACTTCTATTTTTCCTGGTCAGATCTGCATGTATATAGTATCCCATAGATCATATCAGAATTGGTAGAGAAACATTTGATACATCTGCTCTGTGATGGCCATTCTCACTGCCATGGATCAACAAACTGTCAAACTCTAATACATAGAGATAATCAACGGATGATCCACTGTAGTGGGTTTGTTTGTCGTAACATATTGTAGTGTTCTGGAAAAATGAATTCTAATAGGGTGCCATGATTCAATTTTCATATTGAAAAATTTCTTTGTTTCTTCTTTTGTCTTCTCTATTTTCATTTAATTCTCAGATTATTGGATTAATTACCTTCCTTAATAGTTTTTATTAAAAATGTTCTGATCATATTCTCAAGTGTGGATTTTAGCAAAAAGAAAAAATATTATAAGAATTATAATTTTTTTATTGATTTTCAAAAGAATAATATTATAGGTTTTAAGAGTATAATTTATTTTTTCAATGCACATTCTTATTGAAAATTGCATTGTTAACTTTTTCATTTTAATGTAGATTTTTATAACTGTCTTTTGTGTTGTTGCTTTTATGGTGTATGATTCGCTAACAATTTGTGGAGAGAAACTCTTGAACAAAAATGCATGAATTTTGTTAAAGCAGCAGGGTACACAACAAACCAAACCCATTAACTTGTTGATTGATGTAGAAAACTTGCATTTAATTCAACATTCATGGCAATTGCATTTCTCTTTTGTCTCTTTTTTTTGTGATGCTCAATAACAAGATTTCCTTTAGTGCATGATATCAATTGATGTGATTGTATCCAAATGACACAACATATTACATAATTTATGCTTAAGGTTCATTATCATCGTCATTTGTGTTTGGGTGATGAGGTCTATGCTTTGATTGAAAAGGTAAGTGACACTTGAAGGAAGCTGTCATAGATTTCAGACTTAACTTCATTGGTATAGGTGTTGTGGTAGGATATCTTTGGCATTTTTAAAATAGTTAAAGATGTTGTCATTGCCAACAATGTTTTTTAATTCAAAAGCAGCTTTCGATGGCTTAGCCATCGAAAGCTGCTTTTGAATTAAAAAACATTGTTGGCAATGACAACATCTTTAATTATTTTAACTTCATTGGTTTAACCACTATTACTATTCCAACTTCATTCAAATGCCATGTTTTACAAACCTAAAACTGTTTATATTTTCCAAATTAATTTTCTTTTATTATACAGTATATTATTTAAACATACAGAACAATCAATAATTGTTGTCACGGTGATTTTACAACTTATGAAACAATTGTTGGTGATTTAAATTCTTTTTTAAGAGAATTAATTAAATAATTATACATTATATAATTAAGGTTTCTTGTTCACATTGGAGCATTCAATCAAGAAGTGTTCTCATTTCTTAGGTCTTCTTTATTTTAATTTTATTTGTGCAAATATTTCATGAGTTTAAAAATCCCATTTTTATAACTTACACTAGAACCTTTATTGATAGAAAACAAGCACAAGAGTTTATTTGTTTTTAGGCTTAAAATAGATCAAGAGTTTACTTCCTATAATCAGTGAGTCAGTATATGGGATCATATTATTACATATATTTATGAGATTTTTTTTTTTATTTCTGTCTAAACTTTTCATGGGAAACTCCCTTTGAATCCTGACTTCCTCATAATTTCGATTTTCTTTTTAATAATTTATAAAGGAATATTATGAATTTGTCTCCATCTTGTAACACAGCATTCCTGTAATTATGATACAGTGTTAATGCTTCTTAGAGTTATAATTATGAAGAATGCTCAAGAGATGAATATTAAAAAAAGAAAGATCTTTCTGAAATTTTCGTGACAGTGGAAATTACTGGAAGAATTGTGATTGCTGGATGATTTATTTTGTTATGAGGTGAAGTTATTTCAGTATTCAGGACAGATATTGACACATTTTACTTGATCGCAATACAACGAATGATTCTTTTTCTCATATGCTGGTACTGTTTGACTTCTTACATTGATTTATCTGATAATTCTTCTTTTTTGCTTCATTTTCTAATTTTGTACATGTTATAAATTGCACAAGACAAATGTGTGTTAAATCTTCAAGCAACATTAAAAACATTATTTATTCTCTGGTGAAAGTGAGATGTGCATGGAATGCATCTGCAAATACATAAAGGTTTAGGAAAAAATAAGTACACATGTAAGATCATACCTGTGCTTACTTTCGTTTTGAATTTAATGTATACTTGAGATTCTTTGAAATTTTTTGTTTTGTTCATAGGTAGATTATTTTGTTGGGAATGGGATATCTTTTGTACTTTTTAAATGAGTGCTAAGGAAGTTAAACCAGTAGAATGTACCTGTGATATAGAATACGATTGCATCTTGAATATAGCAGTTTCATTTCTCACATTGAGTCACATCTTCTAAGATGACTTTGTGTATTGTATCAATTTCAAAACCCAGTAAGAATTAATACCACCTATTGTTGTGTTTGTAATGTGTTAATACTTTTTAGTCACATTGTATTTTCTAATCACGCAATTTAATGATAGAGTAAACACAAATCTAATGCGAACATTTCAACATTTCTCTTGCAATGAGAATTGTGTTATGGTTATTTTCCTGAAAGAGATAATGCCTAATTACAGTGCTAATATAAAGAACATTAAACAATGCTGGTTGTTGATGGCAGAAAAACTCATGTTAACCAACAATAATTAAATATCTTTAGAAAATTAGAGTGAAAGGGATTCTCATTCTTAATTTTTTACTAGTAATTGAAACTCTAGTTATTTTAAAATTTTTCTCCAAGAGGAAATTTATCTCTATTAAAAAAATTGGAGACCAAAACTTTGTGATTTCTGAGGTCTCATTTTCTTTCTTTGGGAAAAAGAGCAAGAAATTATTAATGATTTTAGATTCCTTGAGCATTGTTTGCCCCTTCAATTTTTGATAACCTTTAGAAAACCCGACCAAGCTCAAATCTGTTATTTTTATAAATTTTAAATTCCTATGACTATTGTCTCACTATAAATTTGAAAATAATCCGATTATTATATTTTTAAATAGACTATGATAACAATGAATTACAGTTTTACCAAAACAGGAGGAAGAACTTTCTTTTCTTGGACAAATGATGTTGCAATTTAAAATCCTAATAGTTTAAACTTTTTACTGGAAGACCATTTTTACTATTAACAGACAACTTTCATTTCTTCTCCAGATTTATAGTTTTTAATGTGATTTTCATTGTTATTGTTTTTATCCTAAGAAAAGGATACCTTATGGCCTAGTCTGTCCCAATTTGGTGGATTATTGAGTTGTATGATCTTTATCAAATTCCTGCATCATTGTGTTTTGGTGCAACCCAACTGGCAATTTTGCAACAGTTGCATAAACATGTACATATATTGAACAGGAATGTAAACTAAAGCAGCAGAAAGTGATGTTTAATTTCTCATCGAATGTGGTTGACAAACTGTATCAGTTTTACTTAGCTTCTTTTGAAATTAATTGAAAAATGAATGAATCAGAATTAAAATACAGTAACATATACATCTGCTAGGTGCTGCTATTTTTTAAAGAAAAAACACCTCAGTGCCAAAATGCTATGTAAATGTAGATGTGTGAGCCATTTGCAATACTAAATTGTCAGTGTATTGTTGAAAAATTACTATTTTACAATTATTGTACTTCATTTGGCAGCTCTTTAGTGTTAGATAAGGAAAATCTATGCAATGTTTTCTTTTTATGTTCTTTTGAGCATCTTCAAGTTAGTTTTGCTGGCAGCTGACCATCAAAGCTTACATTAATTTTTATCATTTGTGATTTTCTAATTTGAGCTACAGCATAAATCTTTAAGGTATAAACTGTAGGATTAGAAATGACTGTATTTTTCCTTTCTTGTATGTTAAGAGCTGTTCTTGAGACTGGTTTGAGGCCTCAAACTAGCAGTCTTCCCTACATATAAAGCATTTAAATTCATGCTCATTTTGTCCTTTTGGCCTTATGTGCAGTGAATATACTAGTTCCTGTGTTCTTGCCATAGTGAGAGATATTTCTATATTATGAGACTTAAAATTAAGTTAATATTTGTATAGTTGCTAGTCAATAGAGGTGATTATATTCTGATTCCAGCTATTTAATGGGTAGAATTAGGTGTCAGACTATAATTCTTCAGAATACTTAGTAGGATGGAAGTATTTAAAAGTTTATTATCAATCAATATAAAACCCTTTATGAGAGAAAATAATTGTGGTTGTACAGTAAAATTCAGCACATTAGTCTAAATTTGTGACATATTTATTAGTTACAAATATCCTAGACATTAATAAAAGTTAAAGATAAAGAAAATTTCATAATGTATAGGCCTAATTCTTTGTCTAGGATTATTCAATATTGAGGTAAATTCATGATAAAGTATAGTTTTTTAGCAGTGAACAATAAAAAAAATTGTTTTAGCCTATCATAATAAGATTTAAAAGAAAGCAGCTGTATCATTCTCTTAATGCCTTTCTCATTCCAGTTTATGTTGTTCCTTAAATTTTATATTAATCTTTTATTTTTGTTATTATTGTTTCTGAAATAGGATGTTAAAATGTTTTGTTCTATTATTTCTTTTCATTTTTGTTTTGACTTTATTTTTTTATTTACAGAGAATTTTTTATTAGACTATATGAATTATGTATTTAGACTGTAATGATGAGTTACCAACAATTCTGTTTATTTTTAAGACAAAAGAAAAAATATATAAATGTATTTATTAAGAAAATATTAATTTTTGTAAGAAAATAGAGTTTAAAAGAATTATAGATTTTTCACTTAGACATTATCCTTTGTGTGATTGTACTGGAATCGTTTTAACCAAAAAACACATTAATAAGTTGTCATTGTAATAAAGATATAGGTTTGGAAGTCTTTGACTAATGTGTATACGTAGTGTGCATTTTTTAATGGAAGCTGGAGAGCATATCACAGGGTAATTAAGGTGTGAAATATCTGTGATGAATTTCGACAATTGTATTCGAAGGATGGAATTTGACCTTTCCTCTTGTGATTGTATGTTAAGAGACAAAAGTGTTGTGAACATTAATTAAGAAAGCAAAGTTATGTTGGCTAATGAGTAGTAAGTGATCTGACCACAATATTTGTTTGTTTTATTCTTTCACTATTGTTTTTCATTATACTATGTATCATAGTACTTCAATCAACTCTAGTTCATTAAAATAAAATTCAAAGTTATTACTTTAATTTGAGAAACTAGTATCAATGTGTTTTATGTGCATTTCATATTAAGTGCAAGTTAATATTTTTTGGTTGCAAGATACTTGACAAAATACAATTTTTTTTGGTGAGTTAAGTTCTTCTGAGGAACTACATTGTTCTTAAATTGAAATGCTATTTTTTTAAACAAAACTGGTAAATTGATCTTATTTTGTATAATCCTTAGTCATTGATGGTTCTACATCTTGAACAACACTGGTAATTATTTTCAAGATTTATCAAGAAGTTGAAAAAAAAGGATTAACAATATTTTCGTAGGTACAACTATTTAGTGCATAATTTATAAAATAGAAATGTACATACTGTTGTATAACAATAATTGGTTGAAGTGTAGCTTGATTATGGAACTTTGCTTGAATGATTTCCCAGGGAAGAATGTATATTACAAAATTCAAACATTCGTGATTGGCTGACAGTATTTGTTATGGACAGTAATATACATTAATTATTGAGTCCAAAGGCCAGAATCTCGCTAAACAAAGTGGGCAAAGTAAGTCTTTGTATTTTTGTGTCCATCCTGAATTCAGAATGCTCAAGAAAGCGGGTGGTTATTTAGAGAAATCAATTATATTTTACTCCTTTCTCCCTCCCTTTGACATTTGGGAATTCCTCAAGCAAAGGAGCACCGTAAACAGTGCATTTTAAATGAGTGATTATGGTAGATATAGTGACACCGTCCTTCACCTACATATATCTGTATATTTTTTCTTTTCGGAATGATAAATGAAAACTTTGGGAAGAGATTACTCCGTGATATGCTGTGATACTTGGAAGAAAGGGCCTTGTTTATAGGCATTTATTCGCAAAGTTGGAACGATAAGTGATAAAGGATAGTGTTTCTTCACTCATCAAATTTCAACAAATCAATATGCTTGGAATGCTTATCTTACATATGTTAAAAGTTTTAAGTTCATGCCACTTGGTCATTCAGAATGTTCAAGAAATTTCATTTAAGATAATTTAATTATGAAATACCAATGCAAAAAATAGTCATGCCAGTGTGTGTGCTAAAACAGTTCTGGTAATTCTAAATATATCTGTTCTGCAATTTTAAATATATAATAAAATTTAGGATATAGCCGCAAAAATTCATTACAACTGTATAGACTCATGGATCAAGTATGGAAATCTAATTTCAAAAGATATTATGCTTTAAAATTAGCGAGTATGGCTTTTTGAAAAATGATTTTTGTTTCTTTAAACTATTTGAAATAAATAAATAGATATATAATGTTGTGTGTAAAAAGATATTACAAGAGTTAAGTTTTTTTTACTCCAACCACTTTCATCAACTGGATTTTCAGGTATAAAAAGTATTGATTCTCTATTTGCTATGGTGGCCTAAACAGAGTTGCAGATTATAAGGGGAACATATGAATAAGATATTTTGAATTCTTACTGTAGAAATAATTGCCTCTTCCTCAGTGCCTTCTGTACAACAAATGGTTGTAACTCAAAAATTCCTGAAGACTAACATTTGGGGAATATCAGATGTTTTGGTTTTAAATCCTTTTCATTTAGGAATAGTAATACTTCATTCCTCCATGATCTTTTCTTTTGATGGATATGAAATGTACAATTTTAAGTATAACGCAAATGTTTTCTTTAAGCTGATTTGTATGAACCTTCCCATTTTTCAAGTTATAAAAGAGAAGCTCATTTAGTTTGAAGCTGAAATACAGTTAAAAAAATGTTTTATTTTTATGGGCCACTTAACTGATCAAATTTTCTTAAAAAATGTTGCTCTGAAAAATAATTTTTTTGTATTTTTTAAAAATTACCATTTCTCAAAAAGTGTGTTCTGTTTATGGAAGTATGTGAATGTAAGACAATCTATATGTAATTTAGAAAATATTTAGTTTCAAGCAAAGCTTTGTTCTGTTAATTCTTACTAACTGGTCTCTCATTATAGGCATATTTTTCTTTTTATAATTGCAGACCACATGTAAGAGCATGTACAAGTTTTTTATTCTTATAAAATGTTTTAGAAAATGTTAAATTAATATTAATCAACTTAAAATATTGCACAAGATTTTACATACATGCATGCTTATTATTAATGGTTCTTAATTTGATTACTTAGTTGTTAAATGACAGAAGACTGGTGTGATGATAGTTGGTCCTTTTCAAATCACTTGTAATAAAATACATAATCAAATGTTTGATTAAATATGTAACTTTTTTTTTTAAGAGTGAGAAGATATTCCAAAGACAGATATTGATGTTAAAAATAAAGGTATTTGCCAAAAGGTTTTGAACAATTGTAATGTGATGTACTGCTTTAAAACATATAATTACTTATTTTTGTTGTATTTATTTTAATCTTTTTTGTACTGAATATACCCACATACATGAAGGTTTTGTGATTCTTTTGAAATGTATGACAAAGTTTTTCTTATCTTGTTCTTCAACATTTTGGTTTTTGTCTTTCCTCTATGATTATTTAACAATAGTGTTCTATTGTATGCACAAATAATACAGCAGAAAAATAAGTAAATGTTTTATTTATTCAGTGTTTGTACCTGCATCCTTTGTCATCTTTGAAGAAATATTAACTGAAAATACAGTGTACATTAAATATTGAGTTTAAAGTGAAATAGAGAAATTTCTTTGAACAAATTTAATTATTAAAATACATTTGTTACTTAGTAACATGGGTACAAGTTATATTTTTTTTACTGTTATGGAACATATTTCGAAGCATAATTGCAATCAAAAATGGAGAGAGGGTTGTGATAAGTACATATATCATAATAGGCAATATATCAAGGCCTGTGAAACTGCTCAAAGAATTGGTAGTCTTCATAGCTTAGTAGTTGGAGCAACTGGGTGTAAAGCAAGGGACTCTGGTTTGTAGCCCTGTAAAAAATTTTGTGGAGTACAAAATTATTTCCTGGGAAAAAATGCTTTTATTTACACTGCTCAGGAAAGCAATATACATCGTCAACAACTTGTATTGAAAAATCTCTTATTATAAAGCCAACCAATACACGAATCGTGAGATTGAAATTTCTATACGTATATTGCTGATGTATGCTCAAAAGATGTTATGATCAGAAAATTATTTGTCACTGTAAATTTTCGCTTTGAAAATATGGAGACTAGAAAAGAATGTGTAGTATGCAATGCAATGCAATTCAATTCATTTAAATTATTAAAGAAGTTTTCGAAACTTCAGACCCCAATGTTACATGTTAAGTGCACAATTTATTTTAATAATATGATTATCCAGAGATTGTCTTGAAATTAATCTGGAAAAAAATAACTCAATCTACATATGCTATGCCGATACCATTCATACAAATAATAACTGCTTAGAATATAATCAGCATAGGGGGTCATCCATAAATTATATAATGCTAAAGAGGTTTGAGGCAGTGTTCATAAGGGGAAAGGTGTGTTAGTTTAGCTACTTCATACTGACTTTTATTAATTATAATTTTTATTTTTCAATTTGCTAAAATAATTTATTTTACTGTCTTATATTAATAAATTAAAATATTAACAAATTAAATTGAAAAATAAAAAGTTATCCATAAATTGTTCCAATAAAAGGAAATATGTTTAACCTTAATTGAATCTGTTAGATTACAAAGAAAATATTCAACATTTATGTACGGCGACAGTATGTGCATGGCTTGTTCTCTCCTATGCATCCTTCCTTCAATCAATAATTCTTCTCAATCTTATTGAGAGGTGCAGGGAGAGAGAGAGAGAGCAGAGGTGCGTGGCCAAAAAAATTCTGATTTAATTGTCATAAATTTAAATATGGATTCACAGAAAATTAATGAAAATTGTTTTTACTATTGATAATAAATTTTTACGTATTGTAAAGTAGGGGATGGGGTCACAATCATTATGCAATTATTTAGGGAGGTTCAAGCATGCATTACAAGGGGAGAGGGTATTCAAAATACTCCAAATTTCAAAATGTAATTTATGGACGGCCTCTAAACAATTGTGGACTAGAAATGGGAAACATTAAAAGTGCCAAACTTTACTATTTCAGAAAAAAAGAAGAAAAACAACAACGAATTCATATCGCAAATAATTTTACTCAGTGCATTGGAAGTTGTGATAATTTCTTGTCATTGCTATCACTTCACGTGAAAAAGATTGAAAGTTATTGTAATTTTATAAAAATAATCATTTAAAAATGTGAAAGAAAGGGAAAGATAGAAGTGTCTTACTTCACTTTCAAGTGCACAACGTGAACTAATTTATTATAGAACAACAATGGAGGATAGGGTACTGAACAGAAGACATTGTAAAATTCACATAATTGTTAATATATTCTTTTGCCCCAAGAAATGCCCATGTTTACAATCACCAAAATATGCTACATAAAGGTCTCTGTATTTCTCAAGAAATGGGACCATGGGCAGCAAGTCTTTTCTTCATCTTGTAATGTTCATCTTCATAATAAATTAATAGAAGGTGTGGAATATTTTCTTGATTGGCTAAGATTGTGCAGTTTGAATCTCATTTTCAACTCCACAAACTCAGTCCATTCTTTATTATCGAATGACGTTCTATGTAGAAGTTTGCCTTCATTTATTGAGGTGCCAATATTGTTAAAGCTTTTTGAAATCCAAATTTTTGCAATTTAAATGTGTGTTAGCTACGGAAAGCAAATCTCTGAAATCTCCATCCATATCACTACCTTTTAACTCGCGATAGTGACTGTAGTTTCTAATTCTTCATATACTGAACATTCTTTTTCCTCTTCTCTAGGCACACTAGGCACATGCAGCATATTCAACACCATTGCTGCAGGAATTTTCACACTTCTCCATTGTTTCAGGAATGTTTAACTAAACATTTGTGGTTCTTCCAATTTTTCTCCCATTATTTGTCGTGCTTTTAACAGTTTCCATAAAAAAAACTGCAAAAATGTCTTTTTGGCATTTTAAGCATTTCCCATTACTAGTCCTCAATTGGAAAGAAAGATGTTTAAAACAGAAATACACAATAAGTCAGATTTTATTTAAATACTGCAACATCGGTCTACTGGCCCTTTTTGACATATTGTTAGACCCATAAAGGTCGTTAATAAACAGAAGTCTTAACTTATATGAGCCTAAGCTGCCAAGCTTATAGATTACCATCACATCCACTGAGAGTAATCCTTACAAAATCATAAAAGTCAGTAACAATTAAAAACAAGAAGACAGTTTTATCTTCTGGCAAAATAGCAATTTTAATCTAGTCTGTCATGATTCAAGTCCTTGAGAAAGCACTGAACTTGTGTCTTCTGCTGAAAGGACTGTAAGAGACATTGTGTTCACAGGCATTACTACTTCACAAGTATTTTTCTCTATTTGCGGCTGATTGGATGACATTAGAAATTGTGTTGTATTGGGAATCTCAATTTCTTGAAGCATGGGTTCTAGGGATGAAAATTCTAAGTTTGTCATAGGTGTATCCATTGAAATTGATGTTTCATTCACATTAACTTGAGAATTTAGCAGATAGCCTGGGTCCAGACTACTAGAAGCAGCTACATCTGAAATCTCCACTAAAGTGGGCTGCAACTGGTCTGGTAGGCTAGAGATGTTTAAGCCAGATGGATTATCCTGCCAAAAATAATAACATATTTAACAACAAAACATAACAACAATAAGTTGATTAAATTACATTAATGTACATCTCAAAGAAATAGTAATTAACTCAAGTAATACAGAGCTAGACCAATTAAAGGTCTTATGTTATTGATAAACTATGTCCTAGCTAACTCACTTTTTAATAACTTATTTCTACAATGAACAACATGATTTTACAAATACGAAAATTTGTCACATTGGACTTGACAATTAGATAAGGCAAAAACCATAAATAAATAAAAAAATATGAAATTCAATAAATTTCAATTAAAAATGAGGAATCTGCCATGATAACTAAATAACGTAATAACTAAGTTTGTATATAAAGATTTTTAATTTTCTCTTACCTCCTGATGAAGGGAAGGAGCTGCAGGACATAGAATATCAGCCATATGATCAATTTGTCCATCTTCATTAGCAATAGAGGCAAATAATGATGCCAAGCTGAAATTATTGGGGTGTGATTTACGAGCATGTTCAACATAATGCTTTCGTTCTTTGTAACGTCGGCCACATGTTGGACACATGAATGGGCGGTTAGAAGTATGGCTTCGCAAATGACCTTCAAAGTGGCTCTTCTTCATGAACTTCTTACCACAAGTAGTGCAAGTGTGAGTGAAATCTCCTACATGAGTTTTTCTGAAAATTTGAAGAGTTGCGAAAGTTAAGAATGCAAAGTCCACTCAATACTCTCCTCACACAGCTATAAAAATTCTATATAAAAAATGGCACAATACTACTAAAATACAATAAAAAGTATTGCAAGGCATTTCATACCAAGAATTCGTTTCCAGTGTGCAATACAACTAAGAATGACAAAAGAAAAAGAATCACATTGTTCAAACTCATGTGATTGTAACCTTTCTGGTTTTCAAATTTGATAACTTGAACATTCTTTAAAATATGTTGATGAAAAATGAAGCAGTATTTAAGAGATGCTGTTTCTCTATGTTCTTTTATTTACAAAACAGGTGTCTTCCTTTTATTTCTGCCAATATAAAGTCAATTCTTAGTGTATTAAACTATTAAATGATAATGTACTTGATATTGAATTGAATATGATAAGGACATTAAGTGATAATGCACAAAAGGCAGTTTTTAGTGTAGACGTTTTAAAGAGTGTTGGGTTATGATTGAGGGAGGAGTGCTGGGGTAGCATTTAGAAGTGATGTTGAAGAATGACCCACTATATCTAAAATATTTTTTTAGCTTTGTTCTTATCTGTTTAGATACTTCACAAAATCAATACTTTCTTTCTCAAATAACATTTGAAACATTTCTTGAGAATGAAATATACCTAGGATTTGTATGCTTGGATGATAAAACAGTAAAATACAAAATGTGAGGAATAGAATCAAGTTTCACTGACTTCAAAAAGTAAAGCTGAGGCTCACCTATGTAAAATATAAGTGTTTTTGTGCTTGAATTTTCTGCCACAATCATCACACTGCAATTCAAGAGCTGGTTGACTAGAAGTAGAGTGGATGGTTAAATGTGTACTGAGGTTAGTTTTTGAAGCAAAGGCTTTCCCACAGTGTGCACAACTGAATGGACGTTCCTTTGTATGCAAAAACATGTGATGTTTGTAAACATCACTGCGATGGAATCGTTTGCCACATAAGTTACACTCAAAAGAAGGCTCCTAGAGAGAGAGAGAGAGAGAAAACAACAACATTTAAATCAATAAACAGATATTCTCTATAAAAACATAAAAATTATTTTTCTATAAATTTGAATGCTTGTGGATAACCCATTACATCCCAGAAGTTTTTTGTGGTTGAAGCCAACACAGTATTTTATTTGTTTATTGCACAACAATAAATGTATTAGAGCAAACAAGATGTTTTATTTGAGAGAAAAACCATAAAAGAATTTCTGTACTGGAACAAGTTTATGCCTTAATGATCTTCACAAAATCTCACAATGCAAAGAAATGAAAAACATGTTTTTTCTGCATCCTGTATCTCTGCCATTTTGCAATTTATACATTAGATTAATCAAAATAAATCAAAGAATATTGTGTTAAGCAATGGTCCTTCCTAGAACTTATGTTAAAAAATCCCACAATTTGAATGTGTTAAATGAATGTAACTTTTAGTATATAATTCTATTGGTTTAGTCATTGTAAAATATACGTTTGAGGACTATTGGTCTGTTTCTTTTATTTAACCAGTATTCCTTCAGTCACTTCCTATATGATCCTGGTCTTCCCAACGTTTTCTTGGTCTGCCTAAGTCATTTATTTCTCTTGGCTTTTATTTGAGTACCTTGTATCGCTCAATTTCTTATATTGTTTCTCCTTGATATCTTTAAAATTAACCTCATTTGATAGCTTTGATTCATTTTTGTCTCTATATTAATATTCATATTTCACTACTATGTCCGCTAGAAGTTCCTCAGTTTCATGCAAGCATGCCCAAGCAGCCCCAGAAAACTGAGGGTTTTGGCCAAGCTTTGCATACATCAGTCATTGAGGGGTTCTTTAACTCTAGAAAAGTTACTGCCAAAGGAACTCTTTGACTTTATTTTTGGAACTATGTAATCGTGCAATGTCTCTCAAATGTCTTGGAAACTTTTTGAAGAACTGTATTCCATATACTTTTTTGATCTAATATGCTTGTGTGCAATGGTTAGAGAAGATTATACCGATTGTTCATAAATTAGGTAACGCTAGTGGGGAAGGGGGTTTGAGGCAGCGTTACGCTGCATTACATAGGGGCAGGAGGGTATTCGATTAGCAATAAGTAACACATTTCTTTTTTTTTTTAAACATTTGTTGATTTTTTTTTGTTGAGAGTCTTATACAACAATGTTAAAACAATAATAATTTAAAGTTATTAGAAGTTGTTACAATTGGAAATATTTTTCATAATTTTTTTATTGAATCTGTAAGATTACCAAGAAAATATTCAAAACTGATCTGAAGTATTTTGTAGAATACAATTAAATTGCGCAGTGGACTCGCTCATGCACCCATTGACAACGGTGGAGTGTGCATGGATTGTGATCAGTTTGGCAATGCGTCCTTTCTTCACTCAAAATTATCCCCCAATCTTATTGTTATGTGCAGTCAGCATTAACAACTATTTCCAACTTTAATTATCATAAATTTTAATACACAACACAAGTAAAATGAATACAATTTTTTTACAGAGCTATAATTATTTTCAGTTCTTGTATTTAAAAGTTTTACCTCTGGTGCTTGGTTCTGGATTATTATTCTGTATTTGATAGTCCAATGAGCAATTGTAAATACAGTCAACAGATGATTCTAATGGTGCTATTCTTTGCAATTACTTTAAGAGCATAATTGAGTTTGTTCAATTTTGAGTTAATAATGTTTTAATGCAAGTTACACTTGAGATTGGATTTTATTAGATTGGTGACACTCAAGTGCTTTTGCTAATTTTCTGTGCTTCGGTGATGCTGTTACCTTCTAACATAAGAGATGGTGAGTATTGTTGGGTTGGGTGGAGTTGTGGAAGGGCAGTGGTATTGTTTTGTCTGTATTTACAATAAGATTGTTTTGGTGTATCCATTGAATCAGATTGTGAATGGCTGAGTAAGCTGTGTTTTTTGGGGCTTGGTTCTGTAAGGGTCATGGATTTCAGGGTATACGTTGACAATTTATCCAACATTATTTCTAAGATGTTAAAGAATATCTGAAGATTTCCATCAGGTGCTTTGGTAAATGCTTAGGAGGAAAATGTGTTACTTTGGAATTTCTGCAATTGAGCTTTCTATGTCCGTCACACATTAAATGTTTGAATTCGGTAACTACTTGGTAGTCATTGTTACTGGCTAGGTATAGGCATGTGCCTCAATAATTATGACTTGTTGGTATAATGTGTTCAGTCTTGACAGAAGTAATTTGCTAAGTACGAAGACATGGATTTATGTTATTTTTATCTGGTCTTCCATAAGAAAATATTTAGATTTGCTAAGGGCAGTAATTATTTTAAGTGGTATTCTAACATTATTTCTATTTCATGTAAAGTAGGGCATTGATAATCTGGATTAATTTGGGTCCGAACTCCTTCCAGATGATCAAATTATCTGAATTTTCAAATAAACCAGTACAAGAGCCACTAGATGTCTTAAAAATAAAAAAAAAAGTTGCCAAAATCCTTCATAACTCACTCTGAGAGTCACAGAATTGGGGTATATGAATAAAATCATTAATGTAGAAATTTTTTAGTGTTTTTAATTACAGAAAAATATACTGTTTTGCATGTACAATTTACTTGTACAGACTGTCTTATTTTAGGTACTGTACATCTAGTTCTTCAATAAAGTATGTACATTAATGTTCAGAAATAAAAATACTATACCTTCAGAATCTCATACAGTTCTATTCACTTCATGCACAGTTGTTTTTGTTGTTGTTGTTTGCCAAAATCAAATCTAGATGGGATGGAGAGAGTATTGACAATGTGTGACTATCCTACATCTTAGAGCAGGTGGGGGCGGGGGGCAGAATGATCATCATTTCATTTATCCTCTGAGCAACCTTCTATATTTTTGGCATATGACCACTTGATTCAAATAGGCAAATTTTAATGGTTTCAATACTCAAAACCAGAAATATTTTCTAGCTTATGAGTTTATACTTGGTTTTTAAAATAATTGATTTCAGTATAGTTGCAAAGTGTAGAATTTAGAATTAATTTATTTTGAAGTCTTAAGTAGAAATATAGTTATGAGAAATGAAACCTTTATTTATTTCACCAATTTTCTGAGTATTTTTCTGCAATGGAAAACAAGCACAGAAATCCTGAAACATAAACTTATTTCCTTGGGGGAGGCGCTTATTCCATTTCTACATACAATTGTTTGGTGTTTTTATAGTGACAATATATTAGCTATATATATTTTTCAATAGCACTAATAATTTCATGGCCTTTTTATGATACAGGATGCAAGAAAAAAACATTTTTGTACAGAAACCCAATTAAGCTCACAGAATCTTCAGGTAATATACACATTGGGTAAATAAAGATGGAATTTCAGAAATATGTTCCATATTTATGGATCCTCAAAAATGTATATTTTTAACAAACCTCATAGGCTAATTTTCTTTAAGTTATCATTCTTCCACCAAACATGAATTTCTACTAAAATACACAACACACTAACAGAGAATTTGGATATGTCTAGAAAAAATTAAGCTTAAGTGAAAACGTCTGGTAACCTCAAAATGTGTTCGGATGTGTGCAGTCAGCTTGCTTTTTACAGAGAATCTCTTTGGGCAAATTTCACAAGCATGTGCCCGTGGTCTGGCTTCTTGAGATAAATGTACCATCTCATGCTCCTTCAAACTCTGTTTCTTGTGAAACTTCTTTCCACAATGAGCACATAACAAACCCTTCTTCTGAGATACATTACATGCTGAATTTTTATCATCCAGTTCAGGTTGTACAGATTCTACTGGAGTGGTGATCTGGGCAGTGTCAATTGACGATGTGAAGAGATCTGGTGTATGCTCAATCACTTGCTCTGATTCCATGTTAGAATTTGAAATAGATACTTTCATGTTGTGTTGCCTTCGTAAGTGTGCTGCTAATCCCGTCTTCTGTTTGAATTGAGCATGACAACTAGTGCATCTATATGGATGATCCTCTCTGTGAATCTAGAAAACAAAAATTGAATCTAATTTAATAGTGCAATGTCATAAATTTTATTTTCACAGAGAATGTATTATTAATGTTGCATGATATTCTTTGAATTTCTGAGGCAGTAGCAACTTCCAGGATATTTACCTCATTGTGAGAGAGAAGCCTTGATTGAGAAGTAAATGTCTGAGAGCAGACCGAGCACTGAAATGGACGTTCACTTTTATGAGAACGTTGGTGTACTATCAATGTGTCCTGGCGTACAAAACCATGCCCACACAATTCACATGTAAAACGTGGTGTCTTGTGTACAAAACTATGACTATTTAGTTTTGCTTGCGAAGCAAAGGCCTTTGGGCAAACTGAGCATCGGTAGTTATATTTGCCTATAAAATTATATAATAATAAATTATTATATTTAAAAAAGAAATTGTTTTGAAAAGTTGCATTATCTGCATGCATACATAATAAATACTGAAGGCAACTTTATGTGTAAAACATGGGTGTACTGAATATAAACACAAGATGAAGACAAATATAACCAAGAACAAGAATATAACAGAGAAATTAAGATAAAAGAAGCTAGGATATTAAAATATTTGTTGTTTATACTGCATAGATCTTGATTAATGAAATATTTTTTAGAACTTCATTCAGGAAAAAAGGAAGAGATGAAATTGATGAAATTCGCAGAGAGACTGTGCATCTTACCTGTGTGCTTTGCAATATGGATATCACGAGAAACCTTCTGGGTAAAAGATTTTCCACAGTGCTCACACTGAAATGGTTTGTCTGAACTGTGGATTCTTAAGTGTACATCTAAGGCACTACGACGAGTAAAGAGTTTTCCACATTTTGCTAAATGGAATCAGAGTTTATTATATTAATTTATTGGTATAGCATGAATTCATTAGTACATCATTACATTATTATGTTTATATGTATATTTGATGTGTCTAGATTGACACAATGCATATACCAAGAATTTTACACATACCAAAAACAAGAATTTTTCACGTAATTTTGTGTGAAATATAAGCAATTAAAAAAAAAATTTAAACCATTTTTTTTTCTCAAAAACAGCTCTAACTTTTTCTTTATTTTTCTCTTCGCATGTATCCAAGGATGCTTAAAAAAAGTGGTACTAGTCTCACTTCTGGTGCGCTCTTTGTATTTTAGAAAATTGCATATAGTTAACATTTCTAAACTATAAAGTTGAACACAAGAGTATTTGTCTTATAAACTCTCTTTTAAAATAAAGTCCTTTAAAAAAGGTTATGTACATTATGTAGTTTTTGGAAAAACAGTATTTTTGCCAGTTATTAAAAACACATTTTGTCAAAAAACGCTCCAAATTTTTCTTTTTTTTTCCCCCCACGAGTCCCCCAAGGGTCACCTAAAAGAATGTTTCAAATCTCATTTTAATTAAAATCTCTGAATGTTCAAAACTTTGAAATTTAGAAATCATACGATAAAGTATGTGCTGTTGTAGCACCCCTATTTGCTGTTTTTTTGTAGTCATTATAAACGACCATTCCGTCTCAAGAAATAGTTCATAAATGGGCATTTTATGGCAAGGTCCGTCTCCCCACATGCCCGTCATCACTCTCCACACCTCACTCTCATTGCCCATCCACAGCACTTGTCCTTACTTCCCGTCTTCAACACTTGTCCTCACTGTCTGTCCTTATCACCTCTCCTCACCACCTAATTGCTTGCCTTCCCTGCTCATGCTCCCAAGTGAGGTCATAATTCCAACATCTTATGATGCCAATTGCAAAACTGCTTGAAATTTGTTCCCAAAATTAGTTATGTGTCTTTTGTAAATTTATAATGCTGGTATACAAAAAATAGCATATGCAACTCAATTATAATGTTTCTTTATTGCATTTATACAAATATGAAAACTTTCTCCAAGTTATGATTAAATTAATATTTGAGTGTAAGTTTCAACAAGTAACAGTTTATTGTCATGCTGAATAATACAATAGAAAATCCTTCTGTAGCAGAACAATGTGATCAGCCTCTTTAGGAACTAGAGTCAATTCTGGAAACTCAGAAGAACATTGTTACAGAATTGCATTATGTAAACACTTACATTAAAGTCTCACGACATTTGTGTTTACAAATATATTAACATTGCCCGTTTTTAAAAATGTACTTATGCATAAAAAGATAGCATTATAAACTAGTTGTATAATATACTATTCTGATGAAAAATTGCAGGAAATTGCGAAAAAGCATAATTTTTCCTGCAACATTACATAACTTTCCCCACACTACATATGTAGTATGTGAGAAGTAAAAATGACATAATTAAAAGACACAAGAAGCATATTAAAAACAATGATCAAGATTTCTGTAAAAAGTGGTAAATTCATAACCAAATTGGAGGTGCTCTTTCACTTACGTCAATATACTAACTACAGAGAGCTTCATCAGAGATGTAAACATTAGCTTACTTGTAACTGAAATTCACGATTTTAAAGATATTGTGAAATGTGACATTTCTTAAAAATGAATGCATTAATACACATTAACAAGTCAGATTTGCAATGCAAAAATGGTTCGAAAGGTAAGATTTAATAGCAATGGAATGATTGGACCCAAAATATTTTTTTTTTTTTTTTTTTTTTTTTCAAACTTATCTTATTGGACTTACAGCAAGATAATGCAGAATCACTATTGACATTGTGAGCTCGCAATTGATGAGTATCCACACTCGCCTTAGATGCAAATCGCTTTTGGCAGAAGGAGCATACGTACGGATGCTCACCTGAAGAAAATTGTTAAAAAACATTCATGAATTGCAACTCTATGATTTTATAACTAAAAAACACATTTCATTTCAATGATGGAAATGGGAAAAACATACAAACATAAGAAGTAATGAAATGTCAGGCTCTGAAAGTCTTTGAATCAGTAGTCAATATCACCATTTGTAAAAACATAACTTAATGAACTAAATAATTCTTTGTTTCCTTCTTAATAGAAAATGTATGTTGTTTCTCACAATTTGCACTGAAATGTCTTATATGTCATAGTACAGCCAAAACTGACTAAGGCTTTGTTGGGATACTCGGATGCCCACAAACCTACACCATCAAATCCTGTTATGAGGCTCTCCTGGAGAAATGGTTGACAAGAGCAGACTATAGTCAGTAAATCCTGTCGTTCTCCATCTCACGGTGGATCCTGGATTTTCACCAAGGTAAAAGTGAGAGAAGCTAATGATGTAAGGGCAAGAGCAAAGCCTGGTCTCCAGCTTCATAAAATAAGAACAAATCCTGAAAGAAAACTAAGGGGGAGGGGGGTCTGGAGGTGGAGAGAAATGAATTTCCCTCTGGAAGGCCACTCTGATTAAAAATCTGGTGCTCCTGGGCAGAAGATGAGTGTCAAGCAAATTCCTCACCTTAAGAAAAAAAAAAGAAAGAAAAGAAAAAATGAGTCCTAAAGAACTTTCTTTAGAAATAAAAATTGACCTGAAATATTAATGATGCCAGGTAATCAGAGAAGATCAATGAAATTTGGGACATGGAATATCCAACTGATTAACACAAAATGCCATCAATTCTTCAAATAATGAAGCATTTTACAACGGAGCAAAGAAATATTTTTATAAATAAATGTTGAAGATTTCAAGACACATTACTAGAAAATGAATAGAGGAATATGAAAAAGATATAAAAATATCAAAGCAAAATATATGGTAGAGAGGAAATTAATGGGACTAGTTAACCCATAGCAGTAAAATTAAGTACCTATATCAAAGAAATCATTATTTGGGTTTCATTCTAACACTTTGGGTTACACGCTAATAAAATATGGTCAAGACAACAAAAATATTTAAAAAAACAAAACAAACAGAGAGAGACTGTCTCTTAGGGCATTACATCCATTTGCATTGGTCTACATCACAAACGTTACTTTATAAGACTAATTTACATAAATATATAACCAACTTTGCCACAGAAATTGTTATTAGCATTACTTAAGTATACAAACAGTATAATTGATTATTTCATTCTATACAGAAATGGGAATAAAATGAGAAAAATATTCTGCAGCAAAATATGAAATGTGTTCATGCATTCGTCAAAAAGTTCTAATTTCTATTAAATATAAAATCATTTATGAATTTTGATTTTATATGTAGACCTAAAGAGAGAAGAATTGCGAAAATGCAGGAATGAAAAATTCTGAAACTTCATTCATACTCATGACAAACTCATCATGAGTCAATGAACTAGCATACAAAAACTATTCAGTGCCTAAACAAATATGATAGAATCTTAAAAAAATACCCACCAAGTGAACTTCAACATTTCTACTTAGCAATGGTTAGCTTTAATGTTTTGAAATAGTTTTCTCATGAAACTGACCAGTATGGTTCCTGTAGTGACGAAATGTAGCAGATCTGCTCGCAAATGTTTTCTTACATGCAGGGCAACAAAAAGTGCCATCTGGTCTGCTATGCAAAGCAGGCTATAAATCAAAACAAATTATGGCACAAAGAGCATCTACATATCAACATAAAAATTTTGAAACTGAAAACAAATCAACAAACCTTTGCTTGGAATTGGTTTGCCTCTGGCATGTTACTTTCATTGCCTGATGAGTTGTGTTTTAATATAATACCAGTTGTGGTCTGCTTTGCAGTCCCATCTCTAGAATCTGACAACGTAGTGGTATCTTTTTCCTCTTGAGCCACTAAATCCATTATACAGTCAGCTACCTCAACATCTCTACAGTTCATTCAATGTGATTTCTTAATTTCATGCGTCTTCTACAGTCCTTATTCCCTCTGTATCAATTCTTCAATTTTAATAAATAATTATGGCTCATAAATGTAAGAAATAATATTCCAAAACATTTTCCTCTTCAGACTAAATCAATATAGTCAAAACCATGGAGCTAAGAATAGCTCCATGGTCAAAGTACTAATTACATTTGAGAACTTTTAAGTCATGTCTTACTCCCTTCGCAGAAAATTATTAACATGCAATGTTAAAAAACATTACAAAACAAATTGTTCTTTAAATACCATATTTCATGTACCATCTTCAAAGTTTTAGTTAACCCATTTGTAACATATTTTGGTTTGCACTATAGTTCTAAAGAACAATTAACATGAAATGCTTTAAAAACAAACTATTTCTAGACAGGTTCTGGGCAGATGACATACTTATTTGCTTCACGAGGTATTCAATTATATTCATTTCGGACCCAACCCCAAATCCAAGTATCTTATTCCCATTATTATTGGCACCTCCCTAATTTTTCCCTCTTGTTCTATGTCACTGCCTTCTTTTACTCTCTCCTTATTTATGAACAGTTTAGAAGAATTGTACCAGGGCACCGCCTGTCATTTGCATCAGCTATTTATGTGTTTACGCTTTATGCGGTTAACGATCTAATAGACTTAAGATACTATTTTGGACTATCTGTTGGATTTCATATGCTACTAATATTGTTATACTCTCTGAACTCGTGTCGCAAGGTGACCTTGCAGCATGAATGATTCTCTCTGACATAACCTCGTACGTCCAATGTTTGCCCTTGTCATTGAATCCATCTGATCTTCCTTGAATCACCTGGTTTCCCTTGCGATATATGAATCGAAATATATTTTCGATTGCTGCGGCGAGGGGCGACTTCTCGTAGCGAGAAATTCGTTCACTCTCGGTTTGATTTTGCACTACCGTGTTTTGCACGAATTGTGAGAAAGTGTTGATATTTGCTTATAAGAATCTTTGTCAATGTTGTGTTAGGATTATTTAGAAACTTACTTGATTGTACTTGACTGTCAATTGTGTGACTGTGCGAAGAAGTCTCCCATTTATTTTGTTTTTCGACACCAAGCGGCTTTTAACATTGTATGTGACATTTCAATTTTATGTGAATGATTTAACGGTAATAATTGACTATTTCTGTGCTTCAACTTTTCCGAAAGGGAAATGAAAATTAATTATATGTCTTTAATTTTATCGGTAGTGTACCTTTAATAATTGTAGTGTTCATGCAACGATGGAGGGAATGCCTAGTGGGACGGGATTGAGTATTTTTCAGGGTTCAGGACAATTGCAGCTTGACACTGGCACACAAAGTGAATTGGAAGAGGAAGCTGCGGCAGATCAGCAACGCCGAGATAAAGAGGTAGTGTGTTTTCATTTGTGTTGCACTTGGATGTAGGGAATCCTTGAATGTGAATTACATACTTCTTTATTCTACATTCATGCATTATTGAACATTAACATTTGGAGGGTGAGTTTCTGCAATGCATTGGAATCATAACATAATTAGTAATGACCAGTGGCCTAGAGCAGCAAAACTGTTCATCAATGTTCAAACAAAAAAATTTCAAAAGTATTGCACACAGCACTCACGATTGACAAATACTGTCATACAAAATCAACGTTAAAGTAAAAACAGATATCACAAATACTCCAGTAATGTAGTATAGTATGTGTACAATTCAACAGTCTTTTATGTACCAAGAATATCAAAAAGTTGCCATTCGGTGATGCAATATGTCAAGAGCAAATATTTATAGGCAGGTGGCATCTTCCGTGGAGCTTTGCTGTTACAAGACATCAGTAGTGTCATAAGCAGTGATGAACTGAGAGTGAGAATACACTCTGTACACAAAATATGGGAGTAGGCAGAATAATACAACCAATTGTTTGTTTGCTTTTCAGACAAAAACAAAAGTTAAATTGTTCATTTTGGTTATCTAATGAAACCATAACCCCTCTCTCATGATTGGAAATTGCATGTTTTCTTTCAGTTTCTGTACTAATTGGAAATTTATTATCAATTTGTATATTGACAACAACAACAACAACAACAATGAAGTTGATTACAATAATGACAATAACAAGAATCTGTATCACACTGACAAGAAAAATGAATGGAAGCAGTAATTTAATGAAGCTAATGTAAATAAGATAATTGGAAAGATTAACAGAAGAACAAATCTGTGGTTTTGGGGAATTAGTTGTTAAGTTGATTTATCTTAAAAAGGCATTTTGTTGATTTTTGTTTAGCTCTTGGGTTCCTATGCCTTGTGTAAAAGTCGGTAACTCTAGATCTCAATTTTTTGTATATTGCAATGTGAATTTTTAAATATCTCATGATTATTAGGTTGTTAGGATTTAGTCAAGTGTAATTACTTTATTTGCTTATTGCGAGTATGTCTGAAAGTAGTAGGATAAGTCAAGTTATCAATTTAATATTTTTCTGTAAACACTGACATTTTCCGAAACTTAACATAACTACTTTTTCACACTCCAAACGGTCATAAATGTGCCGCAGAAAACAACTTGACAATCTTTTACAGTAATGTAAGTTCTGATAAATCAACTTGCCTAAATAAGGCCATCCATTACCCATACAAGTAAACAATTATAAATTTTTAATTAGTGGACATAGTCATATGGAGTGTGACTCTGACCATGCAATAATTGAGAAGACTAAAAAGAGACCTGGAATGAAAAAACACATTTCAATTACTGGTTGCAATTGGTCAGAACATAGAAGACACGAAAACCATTCCATGCTATGTCAATGGTAAAATCAATTTTTTTAGATTTCAAATCATTGGCTAGTAAAGGTGATGATGAAAATTAGGATAGTCAGAATGAAAAGTTTCTTTGGAAACCTATTCAGTGGCTCCTGTACTAAAAAGGCACAGAAGTACATTTTAAACATTTCCTTAAACAAGAGAACCTATTCAAAGAAACAAATTTTTGGAGGAAGGGAAGAACCGTTTTTCCCCATTACATTTCGCTACTTTCTGAAGACTATGCCAATTAGCAGGAATAAAAAGAGAGATATACTTAATCCTTTGCCGCTAATAGACTAGTTTTCACGTGTACAGGAATTTAAAAATGTGAACGACCCACTCTATGATCCGGACAAAGACGTGTTTCACCTGGATGAATCTGCTGATTGATTATAGTGGTGGCTTGAAAATAATATTACATTATTGTATTGAGTAATTCGGTAAATAAACTGGAAGTGTCTGTATGTGATTTTCAATTTTTAAACAATTTTTCACATCTGTAAGTAGATTTTAAAACATAAGAACAATCAAATCAATAGTTGTCTTTCGGCGTTTATGACTATTACAGAAGTGCCAATTTTCTGTATAACCCGGGTGACCGAAGTGTTTGAATGTTGGGTTCGGACACAGCGTTTCGGTGGGAAGGGCCGCTGGTTCGAGCCTTGCACGGGGTTCTACGTAGGCGACAGGAATCGCGCGACTGCCTCAGCTGTACAGCCTCCTGGAACCGTTCAGTGCGGAAAAGTAACCAGTTTCGTTAGCCGCTTGCGCTTTGCCGCTACCAAAAGCATCTCGTATGTTATTAGGCGGGAAAAGGGCCTTCGAAGAGTGGCGCTTCCAACGGTGCACGAGACATTAAAGGCCAGTGCCAAGACTGCATTACGATACTTTGAGACAGCGGTCTATGCAGAATCAAGAATGGCGAGAGCACGCACTGGAGAAATTAATAATGAATAATACACGAAGCAAACAATTGAAAATTATTGATTTTTTAAAGGTCAAAGATATTGAAATTTTCAGTTCGTGCACTTAATGTCTCTCTCTCTCTCTCTTTCTCGTGTGCCACTTTTCTAAGAGTTCCAACAATTAGAAGATATTACTCACTTTCAAATGCGAGACATTGGTGGGAAAAGCGATGTTACGTCGCCACGTCTTACTTACTTCCCAATCTCCCTCTTGAAGATGTCGTTCCTTCATCTCCTTTCCCCACCTTTCCGTTTCTTTGAAGCCGTTGAGGTGTGTCCACTTCCTGACGAGGGATGCAGAGAAGGCTTTCATGTATTTTCTCCATCTTTCTTACTCTTGCCACCTACATTTAAAGCCACATACATTCTTTTATCACCATTTTCTTCCTCAATGGCATTCTCTCTAAGCTGAACGCCCCACTATGTGTTTTACGTGCATGGCGACCCGTGTCGAAGGGAATGGGTAACCGGGGGGTTGAGGTGTCTGTGTATAAGTTGCCGATTGCCGCGTTATGCTGGTTCTTGTAGATATACCTGTTCTAGCCGTTGGCGAGCTCCGGTGAAAGAGAGAGGTCTGTGCACCTTGTAGGTCCCAATACTCTTTCTTTGACCTCTGCCTCTTCTAGACGGGCAGTCGCGAGCTAATCCACTCCCGATCAATCGGCTCGGTTTAGGCCATAGACTGGAATCCAGGGTGAGCGGGGAGCGCCACGGCGTATCACCGCTGTCATCCCCCCAACATATCTCTGTGTCAACCTTAACACCCCAAAGGAGTGTCCCCTTGGACTTCATGGTGGGCACTTTCTATCTCATGGAACATTAAACAAATCCGTTGCTCTCTTCCGGAAGGAAGAGGCAGTGTTTCAGAAGAATAGTTTTTTTTTCTCAAAGAAGCCACGTTTCCTTTTTATGGCGTGCGCCGAGGAAAGACAAACATTTAAAAGTGTGTTCGTCTCGCATGAGCCATGGAGAACTCTTTCGATAAGCTGCAAGCGGTCATTAAATAGAGGAATGGTACCGTTCTCTTTGAATAGCGCTCCGACAAGCAGAAAGTTCCTTAAAAATAAGCAAGTTGCCGGCCCCACCCCACCCTTAACCTTTGCAAGGGAATGATCTATCATGACAAGCGGATAACAAGATATTGCTGTGTGAATTGTGAAGACCATGCGGCCAATTCCAACTGGTCACCCATCTTTCTGAGGGAGAGGGAGAATGAAAAGATCGTGTGAAGGAGAAAATGTCTTTTCCTGAAGCGAAAAGCAGATACTCTCTGGCGAAGAACCTAGTAGAGTTCTCTCATTTTCCACTGCTGGGACCAAGACGGTGAAAGCAACAGTTTGCCAAACTGCTCCTGCTACTCCCCCAGTTGTTGCCAGATGTCTCATGTGAACTTTCCTGAGAAGTCATCGCCTCTGCATAGCGGGTAAATGATTATTTCCTCAGAATAAAAAAAATGCCAAAGCAAGCTACTCGGACGACAAAGTCAGACGAGGCATTCTGAGCCATAAATGAAGATTGATGTCAGTCGGCTATCCGACCCTGACTCGCATCAAAATGATCCATCTTCCAAGCCTTGACCACTTACTCAGACTCCTGAGACACCCTCTGAGCGATCACTTAGCATGTCGAGGGGTGCTCAGGAGGAGTCGGACTCGGAGAAAACTTCGGCTGGGGTGCACGCCCACCTCTTCGTGCAGCAGCGGCGGAAAGGGAAAAAGAGAAAGTAGTCTTTAACTACCTTTTAAACTCGTAACTAAAGTTCTCTTATCCTGGAATCTTAATGGATTTTTTTTGTACGGGATGAACTAAAACACTTGTCCCGTTACTCGCCTGCGATAATCTGTTTAGAGGAGACGGATCTAGTTCCACCACATCCCGTATCCTTTCGCCGTGTTACTCCATATAGGGTTGACGACATACGCGATCGAACTTGAACCAATGTGTTGCTAAACTGGTTCATGTTTCGCTACTGACTACAGAAGTACTCGAGGGCGGCCTTCACAATGTTGTTGCAGGTGTACCTCCCATGCCTCACTCTCACTGTAACATTTACATCCGTCCAGTGTATCCGCCGATGAACTTTTGGGCTTGATAAACCAATTGTTTCTGATAGTTGGGGAAGTAATTATCGATAGTCAGCTTTAGGGCTCTTACCGAACTTGTTAGAGAAGATTTTGGAATGAATAATTGATATGTCGAACTTGGTTTTTCTGAATTAAGGTTTACTACTCATTTCGCCGTTACCACAAGCACTTGTAGTTTAGCACTCTTCTGTGCATCACTTCATCGTTCTGCAATGGCCTGTTCTAGGCGACCTGTTTGGAAGTGACCATTACTCCGCCTTAATCTGGTTGACGGACTTGTTCGTGGGTTAGCTCGACCCCCCTCAATTGTGTACAATGTGCTGTGCAATGTACAATGCAGAAAATCAGTCTCTGAGGTGCCTTTCCCTGAAGCGCGTCGTCTGTTCCTCACCAGAAATCTGGCGACCCTCTCCAGAATTTTTATTAGCACCTATCAGCTGTCTAAATTGTCGAGTGGCCAAACAATACGGAAATACAACGAAATCCTGTGCGTGACGCTACCTCTCAGGTGTCCCTGGAAGACATCGTCTGCGGAGATGCAGGCAGCAAATGCACTGTACCATTTGGAACACTGAAAGAAAAGACAACTACAAGTGTTTCAACAAACACGCAAAGGCGTCAAGATGGGAAATCGAGGCCGAAAGGACTTATTTCTAGTTCCCGGTTGCCATCATTAAAAGATTGTGACGGTGTCCTGGCAAATGCGACCCTTTCTAGCAGCAGTCTAAGTGACTCTGCAGCTGACGATAAGTCCCAAATGAGCTCGTCCATCGCATTTCAACAGACAAGGAGCCTGCATCTAATCCCTTTCCATAGTGTTACAAAATAAAAATATTAAATTGAACGAGCTGTATGAACTCGTGAAGAAACGAGGGATAGAGCGTCAGTTACCAAGGACACAAATTTGTTGTGGAAGACTGTATAGAGTTCGCTAGAGAATGTACGCCTGAATGTAGGTCGGAAATATTAACGTTGCATTCCGGTTTCAGAATTAGTACCGACTTCAGGATATTGGAACTTTGGTAAAACCTTGTTATTTCAGTTCTTGGTTCTCAAGGAAGGAGCAAGATGTCCGCAGAAGTGGAGAGTCTTGACTTAAGCAACACAGATCTCCTTTGCGTTGAAAAAACACTCGGTGGTGAAAACACTGTCGACACCGAAAAAGCATACAACGCTACCTGGAAGCATGGTATCTTACGTACATTACACTCGTGAGGTATGTTTTCGTATAGTAAGTTTTCCAGCAGTCGTCTCTTGGAAAACTGGCCCTCAAGGATAATTTCTCTAATAACTCTATCGCATCCTTTGCTCGTGAACCCGTTAAAGACTCGTTTTTTGTGAACAACCGTTTTTCTGTTGACAACTTCGAATAGCATTAATGTCATCGAAAGGTAACTTCAACTATCCCTCAATAAATAACATCAACGAATCGAGGCTACGCGTTTTAAATTTTTCTTCACAAAAATGTGCTGCATACGTACACTTGTAGAATCTACCATTTCCAAAACCTGTTTTTTTCTAGGGGATCTTGAACTTCCATTTGTTGACTGCGCTAGATTCTTGGTACTCACCGTCGGCAGATCCCTACCGTGGCGCCATTGGCTTAGCGCCATGGCTTACAGGCCATATGCATGCCCTCTCTCAACCTCCTACACACACTGACTGTGATCTTATGGGGAGCAGACCGTTGTTGTTTTCTGAAACTATGGAGCAGTCGTTCACTAAATATTAGCCTATGGAAGCATAGTGTATGGATCAGCCTCCTTCTCAATCCTTCACCCATTAAATACCATTTACTATTCTGGTATCTGCATAGACATTGGCACACATCGCACCAGTCGAATTATGGGTCTTGTGCCAAATGCTGGTGCACCATCTCTTAGTAGAAGTCATGACACTGTGCTTGCAGCTTACATATTGTAAGAAAGTTTTAGGACTTCTAAATTATGCTTCCTGCCAGGTTATCCTGATGCCTAACCATCATTCATAGCTATCATTGCCCAAACCACCCGGTGTCCCTTTTCGAATACTGCTGGAGGAACTGAATGTTCGTCTTCCTGCTGATCTAAAACACTTCCACCATGCTATCCTTCCATGGAAACTCCCTTACTCCGTAGTAGACTGGAAGCTGTTAAACCTTCCCAAACACACCACCCCTCCTTTGATGTACCTGAATCATTTCCATAAACTAAGAGTAGCCCATACTTTTATTTACACTGATGGCTCTGCCATTAAAGATCCCACGGCCTGTGTATTCTGTAATAGAACATGTACTCACTCACTCTGATTTCACCTAGTCTGTGCCATGAAGTTTGCTATATCCCAGGCTCTGAAATTCATTGAATCAGGTTCTTCCCAACGAGTAGTGGTATATAGTGACTCCCTGAGTCTCCTTCAACCTTTTTTAACCCATTCTCCCTCGGGTCATTTGGCAGCAATAATACAACACGTGATATACCATCTCTCACATGATACATATTTTCTCACCATGTTGATCTTTTTTGTTGGGTATCGGAATCTGTGGGAAGCAAAAAAAAACTCGTTTAGCAAGTGAGCTGCAAAATCACCACCTGCACTCAGAAGTCGGATATTCACATTCCCTTTGCTCCCCATGATGATCTAAAGGCATATTTGAAATAATCCATTATGAATGCATGACAAACTGAGTGGCACTCCTCCCATTTTAAATTAACGGCTATTAAAGACTGTAAAGCCCTAGGTTCCTTTTCCCATGTTGCAAAGTGTGAACAAATTTTAACTTGTCTGCTTTTGCCACTTCTCACATGGTTTACTCCTCTGAGGTGAACCTCTACCTATCTGCAGCTCACGCAGGGTAGCCTGCTCAGTGGAAAACGTGCTTCTGCATTGCATGAAATTTGGTGGCAGCCTACGAAAACTAGGCCTGGGCAACCCTCTAAGGGAGGTGCTTGGCAATGATTGCACTCTCAGTGCTTTTTTCCTTCCTGAGAGAAAAGAACATATATAATACAACCTGAGTGACAAGAACAATGATGATTTATAATTGTATGCTACTTGGCCCCTGTAAGGCAGTTTTATGTTTATTTTAAGTATTGTTTAACTTTTTATTACCTTGTTTTTGTTTTATCTGATGTGGGTTTCAAGTCTTCATTTTAAATTATGTACGTGCTTTTAATCTTAGGGGTAGTTACATAAGCAACTTTTTTTTTAATTTTTTTATTTTTTATTTTATTATTATTATTATTATTATTATTATTATTATTAATTTTTTTTTTATATTAAACTTATCTGTTGAAACAGAATTTGACATGGGTGCCAATGACCATTTGAAGTTTATGCACCTCTAAACCTCAATGATCCATCTGTGTCGCATGTGGACACAGATGGACTTATCTGTAGATCAAGTTCTTCTAATCTGTGTAAAATTTAATGGCAGTTGATGCAGTCACGGCCTTGGCAACAGCTAGTCCATGCTCTCAAACCTTATTTCCCTTCTGCGTGAAAATGGTTTATACTGTTTGCTTTGAGAGGGAAAGACAATATGGTTTTTGTGTATCTTACCTGGCCTCTATGCAGCCAGTTTTGAGTCTTGTATTATTTATTTTTTTACTTTTCCTGCAATAAAATTTTTAGGCATCATTTGTTTCATTTTTTTATTACCTTTATTACGGTTTTAAAGTTTGAGATGAGCGCCAATGAAGCACACTTTATATGTCAATTAATCAATCAAATTTTCAAGAGCAGCATTTAAATATATTTTGAAGAGAATAGGAGCTACCTTGTCACAGCATCCTTGTCTCAGACCTTTAAAGATTTTAAATGGTTTCTTACCTTTCTTCCAATTTTGATACAGCACGTCATATCATTGTACAGGTTTTGAATTGCTGTTCTTAATTTTCTTAATTGTATATTTATGTTTTGATGTGTGAGAACGTCCCATAATTTTGGATAATAATGGAATATTGTAGGATTTTGTGAGATCTCTAAAAACCATGTGTCTGTAGATTATGTGCTAATCTTTAATCTATTGTTTGACAATGGCAAAATATTCCATCAATGCAAGATCCTTTTTCTTATTATTGTTATGATTTTAAATCACTTATGCCAATTATAACAATAACGCTGTCCCTCTGTCAATGTGATAAAATGTTTTAAATGCTATGTATGTTATTTAGTTACAGAAATTGCTGACAAATGCTTTTGATGACCTGTACGACGACAATGATGATCAAAGCACACTCAGCAGTATTCCTGTGTCAGAACACAATTCTAATGATGGTAAGAACAAATTTGTGCTAGGTGATCTCTTCGTTTTGAGTATGTTGATTTCTATAAATTGATATATCTTTTAGGAGATAATGAAGAAAATCAAGCTGATAATATTGCAGAAAGATACCACGCTGCATTATTTTCGAACACTGACCAGGGCCCACAGTACATTCTGGAAAGTGGCGAGGAAGCGAGAAGATACCATTGTGAGTCTGAATTTAATGTTATTAGTTAGATTTGTTAGACTGTTTATGAACAAAACTGAAATTTTTGAAGTTCAAGAGCTTGGGCAAAAATAAGACTACATTTTAATGCTTTTTGCAGAATAAACAGGTTTGTAGGAAAGCAAACCTGGTGGAAGAAACATTAGAATTGCAATTTGTATGCTCATGTTTATAATAAAATACTAGCGGAACCAGACAGACATTGTTGTGCCCTTCATCTCCCTTTCTTTCTCTTCGTTTCCCCCCTATCTTTTCATCTCCTTACCTATCTCCTCTCAATCCTGCTCTCCCCCCTCTCCTCCAAACCCTGCTCCCTCCCCCTCGCTCTCAGCAAAGATGTAATAGAATGTTCAAAAAGATCTCATTCTATTGGTTACAGTGTGAGAATGTTTCTTTGAGGCATAAGGCCTCAAAATTTTAGTTTTTAATGCCCTAGGATGCTTAGTTTAGGAGTTATTTAATGATATAGACTTTTTGAGTTTTTGAAGTATACACACACCCACATAACTGGGTGTCTGACGAAGAAACATCGAAACTTATCAAATATTTTCTTAAGACAATTAGAAAAAACTAACTCAGAAATGAAAAAGCAGTCAAATTGTGTAAATTGGGTGCTTTTTTTTTTATTTATGTGTTAATTTTTCTTTCTGAACACACATTAATTTCTTTTGCAAATAATAAACAATTTACAAGTTTCTGGAGTGTTCTTCTGGCTATTCTTCTCCAATGCGAATTTTTGTCTTGATAGAATTTTTTCAATCCAACGTTTTGAGTGCTTATTGCGGCTCAACCAATTGCATTGTCCCATTACTTTGTTAGACAAAATATTTTTAAAATTGTCTTAAAAGAATATTTGGGAAGTTTCCACCCGGACACCCTAGTTTAATTTTCCAAAAATGAATCTGCAATTAATTTTTGGAAAATCAAACTTAAAAAATATGTACCGTTATTTACTCTTTATTTTTGGATTTGCAGATCCAAGTGAAGTGGTAGCTTCAAATGCGACTGGTGACATGGAATCCTACATGAACAGAATTAATCTGGTTGATACTATGAGCCATCAGCATGAAATGCAAGGTGCTGGTGGTGACTCAACCAGTGTTTCGGCGTTGCATTACCAACATTGTTTTCGTACTAGTCCTGGTGGTAGGGGTTCTACTGATGTACCTACCCATGATGATAATGAACGATACCGGCAAACAGGTATTATGATGATGATAAGTCAATTAACGTCTTCAAGAGAATGATATATATTTGGAAATTATCTTTTGTTTAGTAACTTGGAAAATAAGTATAAATGTTTCCCTTCTAAATTAAATTGTTCTAAATTGTTTTTCACACATTGTCTCCCCCTCTCCTTTCCCTTCCCCTCCTCTCTCCCATCTCCCCCCCTGCCCCCCTCTCCCTC